AAAATTCATGTGGGAACCGACTTGAGAAAATCGGACAATACTCCGTTTTACGCGACCTCCGTGCAAATGGATCAGTTCATTCAGTCGGACTGTGTCTAGAAGAGTCAAAGAATACATTGTTTATTTATTTACCAAAGTATTTACATTCCAGGGGTTTCAAACTGAATACTGAGAATTGAGAGTGAGAAGATAAATATCTGTGTTGCTCCATCGTAGGTGGATCGGGCACATGCGAGGAATCAAGTTGTTGATTCCTGCGAGGTGGCAGCATATTGCAACTGCACTACATCTTATCCGGACGCGATACGCTGCCCATACCTGTAGCCCGCAAAGTGGCGTCAAGGAATCTCTTCCATTCCGACACCGGTTTCGCCTCGACTAGCGTCTCCGGTAATTTGTTCCAATATTTCACCACTCGACACTCAAAGCATAGAGGGTGAGCGATGTGTTTTAAATCCGGTACCACTAGTTTGTACCGGTGTCCGCGTTTGCTTGTTGGTGCGCAAACGTGAAGCAGGGGCCATAACATACGGAAGTGACCCGGTTGCATTATCCGGTGCATCATAATGAGATCAACTCGAAGCCGACTATATGACAGGGTATAAAGCCCTAGTCTCTTACATCGGCCCTCGTACGATATACCTCATAAACTGGGAATGAGCCGAGTAGCTATATGCTGAACCCGTTCCAGTCTCTGCACCTCACCAATTGTGATCGGACAATCGGCGGGTGAGCTGTACCCAAGCACTAGTCTTACGATGGAAGAGAACAGACGGGTGGCAATCTCTTCAGACTAAGTGCAGAAGCTGCGTCTGAGTGCCCAAAGTAGGCGTTGACCGTTTGCGTACAGTCTGTTCGTGTTGTCGACAGACTTCAGATCGCAAAGTGGGAGTACGCCTAGATGCTTCATGAAGCTGTGCTGTGGCGGCGTTAGATCTTTCGACTCAAACAGCTGGAGAAAACCGTTTTTCACAATCTTCTTGAGCACCGTCGCCAAAACAGAGGTAAGACAAACTGGCCGGGTAATTATTCCCATTGCGTGGGTCACCGCCTTTTGGAATCGGCTTCACTAACGAGCATTTCCAGTCCCTCGGCAATGCGCCATCGGACAGTGATCTGTTGAACAAATCCGTAATGGCAGGCGAGATGATGGTTCCATAAGAACTTTAAAATGAGTGGGTGAAGCCCATCGGCACCGGCAGATTTTGTGCCGTCAAGACTGGCGAGTAGACTGCGGACATCATCTACACCGCAATCCAAGCCAGTGAGTTCAGTAGGGACTGCATACGTCGAGTCCGGCATAGGCGCACGTCTACTTGTCAATACGGAAGCGAAGTGCTCCGCCAATGTTGGGAGTGCTGGTGGTCAGAGGCTGTCTGGCAGTGCCGTCTAACATAGCTATCACTTGCAGGCCCCAGACGTCGCTTCACGTAAAATCTTCTTGGGGGCCGACTCCACTGAGGCTGCAAGCTTCGCATCGAACTGCCGACGCTTTCGCGCTGTGACAGTTCCCAAACATGTCAAACTGCACTGGACCGATTAGCATTGGCTGTCAATGGTTTTGGGCTATGCTTTGCTCCATCGAAATGCAAAGTACTTCTCCAAGATTGGCAGGGACCCAACCCTGCGCTAACGCTTGGTGGTGATCTGCTAGAAGTCGTTCAGGAATTCAAGTACCTGGGCAGCTATAATAGCATCCGTGGGATTGAAGATGAGGTTACGAACCGTAAAGAAAAAGCTCGAGGTGCTTTTGCCAATCTCCGCTACCAGTGGCGCAGACGCGACATTACTATCGCCCTCAAGGACAGAGTTTACAACGCAGCCGTCCGTTCAACTCTCTTATATGGCTGTGAAACCTGGCCCATCAGGTCGACTGACATAAAGAGGCTCGTCACATTCGATCATCGCTGCCTTCGCAACTTAGCTCATGTCTGGTGGGAACACCGCGTGAGCAATGAGCGTCTTCGACGTCGCGTATTTGGTTCAGGAAGAGTGAGTGAACCGCTCAGCATAATTATATCACGCACCAGGCTCCGATGACTGGGTCACGTGGTGTGCATGTCAGCCCACCGAAGCCCGCATCGTGCGTCGTTTGCGCGTTGTGAGTGCGGTTGGAAGAGGAGGAGAGGAGGCCAAGTGATGACTGGGTCGAGAGAAATGAAAACTCTCACTTCGAAGTTGACGTCGGTTGGTGCATCCCGACTGCCTGGCTGGGGTCCTAAAGACGGTGAACACGTTTGGTTGGACACACTTGCTGATATGGCTTGGAGCCGGCCCCAATGGTGTTTGTGTTGTGAGTTCCTTTGTCCATCCCTCTCCTGTTTAGCATCCCATTCCAATCACGATCTCATTTGTTAGGCATAATATGACTCTTTTACGGCAGCCAGCTGTTAGCTCTCCGGAACGATGTCCGTCCGTTACTGGGGACTCAGCGGGCGTGCCACTGTTTGTTTTTCTTTTCTTGACGTTTGTATGGCAGCTGAGATGTTTTCCACTTCCAGCTAACGTGTAAGGATGATGATTGATTGATGATGATGATGATGATGATGATGATGATGACGATGATGATGATGATGATGATGATGATGATGATGATGATGATGATGATGACGATGATGATGATGAAGTACATCCTCTGCCTTTTATACGCCTCATAATTGTCAGCAGAGCCAGACACGAGGAATTTATTCCACAATATGCGTCGCCGTCGAGCCAATTGGTCATACTCTTTGCCGAACCGCTGTGGTTTCACTGGTCCAGCTTTCTATATTTGAGGGGTACGAAACGTGCGACCAACGATCGCACATCCTCTTTTGTAACAGACCAACAAGCTTCAGCAGATGAATCCTGCAGTAGCGACCAGTTCACTTCACTTGCGGTTTGACTGAGGCCGTCGAAGTCCGTCTTCTAGTAATCGTAGGATGGCTGCAAAGGACGCGAGTAGGGCAGCGACAGCTCTAGGCTGGCTAAGACCACCAAGTGGTAGCTAGTTGACAGAGGCTCCAGGACTTGAATTTCATATACACATTGCTCGCCACTAGTTAATAGTAGGTCCAAGCACGATGGAGCGGAATGCGGTGTAACGCGCGTCGGTTGGCAGACTGTTGTACTGCCCCAGTCTCAAGTATCATCCACGCAAATTGCACCTCGATTTCATAGTGTCCGGAGAGAAGTTGGGCCACAGTATTCGAGGGAAGTTAAAATCTCCCCTAAGCAGGAAACGAGGCCGACTCATAGTGTTCCTGTCATGTGGCAACCAATCCAGACATCGACATCGCGAGATTTATTTTTCCTGCCCCTACAAGGCAACTTACGTCCTTGGGTCATTTACATTTCGACCCTTTGGAGCTGTGTCTTTCCATTGTTCCGTGAACATATGTGGAACGCACATACGCCTGTAACCTGTTCCCTACAGCCTTCACATATGTGCAGTCCCGGCCGGTCTATCGAGACCGATATCCGAAGTACGGTCTCCGTATTCTATCGGAACAATGTGTTACACACGCAATTTACTTGGAAGCACCAGAATTTGGCCATTGATACAAGTTGTGAGGCAGAAAGGTATTATATATTCGCGCATTCCTGAGCATGTAACATCTGTGGCATCGGAAGGGGGTTCCTCAAGGCCTGAAAGGCCGCATATACAAGGCCACAGGGAGGGCCATCCTACTCTATGGTAGTGAAAATTGGCTCTCCCAGTTTGAGGATTGGAAGCGCCTTCAAACTTAAGATGGTCGCTATCTGCGAAGCCAGGCCCAAAGTACCCGCAACGAAGGGGTGCGCAAATGAACAATATCCGGTGATACTCAGGCAGGTTCCTTAGAAAAACGGATAACAATGGATAAGTTGCGTTGGCTTGGGTATATGCTAGGTATGCTCGGCCATCGCTTGCCGAGGGGAAACTTGCTGCGTTTGCCGGATATGGGATACCAAGATGGCCGAGGAGGACAAAAGTTGGCTTGGTAACCGAAAATCATGGTACTAACGACTAAAGTGGGAGCGGTAATTTGTAAGTATTAGGGGATTTATTAGGTTTTTGTATGGGTTCGTCATAGTTAGACACAGGCAGACAGCCACCACACATCCATGAAAGCGTTAGACAGTGGAGGATGAGCCGCGCTATATCGCAATTAGATATCACTCATGGCGGTCCGCTGCTGTCGCCCATGGCTCAGTGACATAAGTCGCTGACTCGCAAGAGTAAGGTCGTGGGTTCGAATCCGGTAGGATTCGGCGGATGCGCGCTACTGACGAGTCCCAATAGGACGAAACGGCCGTCTAGCGCTTTCCTGGATGTATGGGTGGTTAGATCGTCTCGTCTTCCAGGCTATAGTCTACGCAACCTGCCTTATGCTTAACTCGAGACATTACAGAACATGGCTTACAGTCGGCGCCAGTGACGCGTTTGCTGTTGCCTCCTAGTAGGGCTGTATTTCAAGTGCGTCTAGTGCTGTTATCTGCGGGGTAACGGCTCATTATGATGCGGAACAATGAGAAAAGGAGGGGTAACGGAGCTGCCTCACCGACGTTTCCTTATTTTTACAAGGTAGCCAGCTGTTTGTCACCTTGCGTTTCTGTCAAGTGTAAGCATCTTGATTTCGAATGATCACTTAGTGTACTTAAATTGTACACAGGGTGCCCTACTACATCGTGTTAATCTCCATTTCCCAAGTCATACTGAGTTAATGCTATTGATGACAATTATGAGGTTATTCAAGCAGAGGCAAAGATGAAGTATCCAAACGTCTATGCTGTTCAATCACCGACTTGACATCTCAAAGTCACCGAGGTTGGAGAAAATATGCAGGGCAAACAGAATACCTGTATCCAAGCATCATCATTGTGTCAAAGATGCAAGCTGAGGTGACCAATATAAAGCACCGTACTGAAAAATAATCATGCAACAGAGTAAAGAGGAAACAGTTGGGTTAAAGTACACTCAGATGAGTCAACATGTCTTGTTTGTACTTGGCAACAAAGAATAAAGACAGAAAACTCACCGAAATCGCTTAATGTGCAATCGGAGCACTCGTGGTAAACGGCTCAGCCGTATTGTCTGAGTAGCTGAGGTGAGACACGGGCCAGTTGACCGTTTGGAATCGCACCCATGGTGTGATGAGCATGTGCTCTCGTTGAGGAACGACACTGAAACGATGGGGTCCCGAAGAGGGGAATTGAATTTGTGGCTGGCCTCTTCACAATAGGCAGATGAGACAATGCCTTCCGTGGGATGAGGAGAGGTTGTTTTAGAGGTGGCGCGCGATCCGATTGCTGACGACGTACCAAACACGTCGGAGTTCAAGGGGAGATTAGAGGCGGAGTCTGATGTGGATGACGACAGACGGGAGAGGGCAACCGATACTAATCGATCAACTAAAGATTGGAGGAAAAATGAGGGCGATTAATTAGAATCAACGAGGATACGCAAAGTCCCTAAGTTTTTGAGAACCTACGGAGATAAGCAAAACAAAAGCACCACGTTGATAATCAGGGACACTAAGTACTCTACGTTCCTGTTGAAAATAAAAGAACCCGATGGAAATATTATGTATTCTGGCCCGGCCGAATTCTCAAAAAAAGGAATATAGTGCGCCAGCAGTCCTTACCAACGTTACGCTGTCAAGCGATTACTACTAGGCGCGCGCGGTTTAAGGAGATTGTGACGTCGCCGCACTTATACAAAATCGAACCAGTGATTTTCAAGTTACAAGATTGCTAGTGTGCGGTATACTCAGTACGCGCGCGACTGTTGGTGGTCGTGCGGCAGCGAAGCGCCGTTACGGCGTACAGCTGACACATTATTATTATTATTATTATTATTATTATTATTATTATTAATGCTTACTTAGTAATGCTGTTCGATTAAGCGCGGAGGTATGTGTGGTTGTTGGACTAACGTTAACACATGCGGCCATAACGTCCCATCACGTGATAGATGAAATAGCAATTGTAAAACGTAACGCTCTATCGGTTTGGGTGGACGTTGTGGTTTGCTAACATCGATCGGCTGATCGGTTTCATCCTTTTGGTGTTTCGCCGTCTCCTTACATTCTTCTGTAACAACTACCTCCTTCTCAAGGTATGGTGCGACCCAGGTGCGGGGACGGATGAAATCATTGTGCTTGCGTAGTGATTCTTCATTTTCCAATTGTATGCCGACCTCAGTTTCCGAACTTGTAAACATGGTTCCTGGTTGCCATACCTGCCCGTGCGGAAATCCCGTGTATACATCGCGGTTTGCTACCAAATCCTGGAGTTTAGATGGTGCGCAACCACTCTGGCCTGACGGGGGTCCGGAAAAAGTAGGTCTAGCCTCGTACGTAGTCGACGCCCCAAAACATAGCCTTCCTCGGGTTTTTTCCGATGGACTCCAACGGTATGGTGCGATACGCGAACAGGAATCGGTCAAGTTTAGTGCGCAAAGAGCGATGACATTACTGCAGGAGACCGGCCTTCACGGCTTGTACCGCTCTTTCCGCTAAATCGTTTGACGCTGGGTGATATGGTGCGGAAGTCATGTGGTGGGTGATATTACATTTCAAGTATTGTTTGAACGCTGCACTGGTGAACTGCGGACCGTTCTCTGTGACCAATGTTTCGCGTATACCGTGCATGGATAGATTACAACGTAATGTGTCTAACCGTTAGACTATAGAATCAACGCCCAGATACAGCCCCATCTACGCGAATGCCTATTGGGCCGGACGACTGAACAAAGAGCTGATAATCCCTCCAGAATATGGGCCACCAAACTACGGCTCTAAGGCCAAATCTGGCAGCCGACTCTACCCAAATTTGTTTGAGAAAGCGTATGGAACACGAGACGTTGTGTCACAACTGGCAGTTGACACTGCATATCGTATTGTCGGTGTCCTTACAATATTTGAACCCCAACGAGAGCCAGCGCACGGTTCGTACATGTGACCTCGTACAAACGCAATATCTATGATCTTACGCCGTCGCAGCAATAATGTGAGTGGTCATGCATGGGACTTTTTCATCCCCGCTATCGACCGTGCTTCCGCTTACCTCACACCTCCGTGCCACAGTTTTCGGTTAGTCAACTACCTTGATGCACGTAACATAAAGTGAGGCGTTTTGAGCCATCGTCCGTTTGTGCCTGTATCATTTTGAAACCATACTTGATAGCTGTTTGGAACGAGTCACAAGTTGCTGATACGAAATTGTACTGAAAACGTAAATGTTTGAGGTTCGTACACTTGCACTGCTAGTTGCAGGTAAATAGTGCCAGTATCTAGTTTCAACATTGTTTGCTAATTTGACTTCAGTTGGAACGCTTTGCTTAGATCCTCAAAAGCTTTGCTCTTATATATATATATATATATATATACGTTAAGGCACTTATTTTTTAGTTATGTGAGATGTCATCACCGAAGATGTCAACGAACTCACATGCGCCTTTGATGAGCCGTAGTTCAACCAACTACCCCTAGTCACCTGCATTTTTGGTGTTTCAACAGGATTTGCGTTGTTTTTTATTCAATGTGCTTGTTCTGTACAAATCCCGTTTATTTCAAAAGTTCGTTATCGATACTAGAGAGATAAAGGTGGACACTTGGATGTCACGATTTGTGTCTTTTTCCAATATTGTTCGTCCTGGCCTGCAAATATGCGGTGCGATATGAGAAGAGTTTGGTGATCACTGTTCCAGAATAAAATCTACTTAGCCGAGTAGGCAGTTGGAACGTCCCATCTGTCCACAGGAAAGCGCTGCGAAGATTTCGTTATTCCAGATCCTCATTTGAAAATTTATGTCCTAGAAACTAACATGAGAGATTGATTAAGACACCGAGGTTGATATTGAGTTTGGACCAAAATCGTCTCACAAGTAGGACTATTGCAATTTGGTCAAACAAATATGAGATAAAAAATCGAAACGTGAAGAATCTGTTGTCATGGCGTGCGTTCTTATGACAGCAAATAGGGGAGGAGAAAATCAAATCAGAACGCGAAGTAAAATACAAAGAAAACTGTAAAAAAGGGAGAAAAATTGTTAAAAATAGTCCGGTTGACCAGGTAAGAGATACACTCAAAAGGCAGAAGGAAGTATCATCAATGAAGTCGCGATTGAGCCGCCATGTTGGTGTTTCAACCGCTAGTGTGGCATTAAACCAAGCCCCTAACCTGCTCAGGTTCTCCAATCAACTTCATGTTACCACCTATCATCACAGCACCAGATGACGATCCCGAAATTTGCACTACAGTAAGTCGAACATTAGCGCACGATGCATATCGAGGTAGGTGGTCGACGAGATACAAATTGGTCAGTGCTTGCGGGTCCAGTCGAACAGATATTTCAGAGGGTCTTTGTACAAACACAAACTAGATGTTGGTTTACACGTGGCCAACCATTAGCGGAGTAGCCCGGGCCTTTGGCGCGTAATTCGTTGGTCACGACAGTGACCAGCCCACGTGAAAGCATTAGTGGTCGCTTGGCAGTGAATCCTCAGCAGGAAGTTCCGGTGAACTGTTGGTATTCTGTCTGACTTTGTGTTGCATGTAATAGGTGTCAGACCGGGCTCGTCGTCTTCACTCCCTGTGACTGTGTGAGCGATACTAAATAGGCTGGTGAATATTGATGAACTTCCCAATGTGCTCACCACCTTAAAAGCGCAAGAGACTACAACACGGTGGGGCAGACATACTACTGGCTGTCATCAAAAGCGACTAGAAGTGGTCGATTGGGTGGCAACCAAGATTACTGTATCACGCCTGGTGATTAGGAAACTGTCAGGCAAGTGACTCCGAACATCAGTATCGTGGCTCATCTTCTCTAAAGGAAGGGTGTGTATTGCAAAAAGACACTATGTTATGTGTCAGAAGTCAATAGGCATACAGGCGATGAAGTCGTCGAAGTGGATCCAGCTGCCATGCAAGTGAAACCTAGCAGATCAACGTTTCGGTATATGTTTCACATCTCCAAGGTGTAGTATGTTCTCGCAGAACTAGGCTGCAATACTGCTACCTCTCCCAGTGACAGAACCACTCCTCGTAGTCGGGCAGCTATTATTCCGCCTGAGTAACCATAGAACTCATGGTATTTAGATCATTGAGCAGCTGACTACGCGAATAAACAAGACTTATGTGATGTTTTAATGCACTGCACCAATGGGGACGGCATGACATCATCTGTCTAGAGTGCGATGTACAAAACCACAGTCTGAGCAACGGAACTGAGGAGATCAGAGGCACGGTAAGTGCGCACCGAGGATAGCAAGTGATCGGTAGCCTGTGGACACCGATGTCAAAGTTGCACAGCTCATTTACGCTGACGCCACTGAGTGAACAGTCCGAAGTACCATCAAGTGGTATTTGGCAACAAAATGTTTTGCGCAACCCAGGTCCGTCTGATCCAAAGGTGTATCATTTTCGGAAGCCACACAAAACTGGAGGAAGATGCGGGGTAGCTAACCGATAATGAGACAAAAGGAAAGGCCAGAAAACAGTTCAGGGTTAAGATATCTTTTCGGTAAAATCTCGTCAGACCCAAACTTTTACATGACACGGATTATGTGGGGTAAGCGTCAAATCGGGCTGGGATTGATTTCTAGGGTGTTTGAAAGGTCAAGATCGATGACTAAAGGTGGCTACAGATGGTAGGAAAAGTGCATCAAAGGAAATTAATACAAGCTTCAGGGCCTAAAGTAAATAGCTAAGGTCACAAAGGGTAGTTAAGTAACCATGTCAGTCGGCCAAGGTAGTAGTATCGGCCGTATGAATCGTTTGTGTACGCATAATTCCGGCTTCAGATGATGGATGTAAATAGCCTCGGCGATAGACAAGATTTGCTTTCGGAAGCCTTGTGATAAGCGTTCAGGTAGTGAATAGATGACTTTAAAGTCATTCTCCGATGCAGTATGGCCACTTTCGAGGAGGTGCGACATGATTGAGCTGTCTGAGGCCCTCATTTCGCCTTTGTAAAACCACGCCGGGATGTGCTCGCGAATCCTCTGGGATAGACGTCTCGTTGTGCGACCCACGTATCGTGCACCACAAGAGCACGAGTACTGATAAACGAGCATTGAACGGGTCAACGATGGGTCTGACGAGATTTTACCGAAAAGATATCTTAACCCTGAACTGTTTTCTGGCCTTGATTCATTTGATTACAATGGGAATATTTGCTGTGTTGAAAGGCAGCATTGCCCGTGATTCGTTGAACAAAAGGAAAGGACAGAGCTGAGCAAAGAAGTGACCAGAGTGATGCAAGCAATCTTCGCAGATGATGTCCTCGTGGTTCAGTTCAGTTGAAAAACTATGATCTGGGCACCAAAGTGAGGTGGATCCAGTTGTTACGACTCACGATGCCAGGACAACAATAAGTAGCAACGGTAAGAAAATGAGATTGAATGCAAGCAGAATACAAAGAAAATCAAATGACAGAAAAGTTCAAAGCTAATCAGGTTGAAAAGATGGCAGCTAGATGCAGGAGCTCCACTGACTGCGCGATGATCAAAGACTTGAAGGCGCCTGGAATCTTCGGAAGACGGTCCCCACTGTGGCCTAGTACACACCGCCGCCTTTCAGACCGACGGATTCCACCTTCTGATGTCACCGGTGTCGTAGGCCCAAAAGTCGGTCCCAGTGGTCGTAATACGTGGACTAAATTCAGCAAACATAAACTAATCGCTGCTAACGCAGTTGCCAAGGTAAGTGAAATGATCAACTACCCTGATTTTCTCGCTATCAAGGGTCATCAAGTAGCTGATGGTCCTGCAACAACACTTTGCATGTTGAAAGTGCAAAATGATGGGACTAGTCTAGAAGGGTTGTTTAGGATTGGATAGGCCGCCACAACAACGTTAAACAGCAAGACACTGTTGTCCGCATAAGTAAGATCAACTAGCTTCTCAGCATTCATTTCCACATAAGGAACCGTAAATGATGGAGTCCACGACGAAGTTGAACAAAAATTGGAGAATCGGGCAACCCTGACGAACGCCAAATGTAATCGGAAAATTATCCAACAAAACACCGTAGACCCTGACGTGGCCTGCGGTGTTCGAGTACAAGACACGTAAAGTGTTCACAGATTTCATGGGGATATCTTTCCGCGCAAGTATTTCGAAGAGAATGCATCGATCGACAGAATTGAATGCACACTTGTAGTTAAGGAACACAGCTTTTGTCGGTCTGTGTTAGGTGTGACGCTGCTTTAGCACCTACCGTAGAATGAATATGTAGTCTGCACACCCCCGTCCTGGGTGTAAGCCTGTTTACTCTTCCTTGATCCGGGGATACTATTTTCGCAGTGAGGCGACAGAGCAGAATTGAGGCCAGTAAGTCTGTTCCCATCGGTGTTAGTCTAATATTTCCAGAGCATATTCGATGCGACTACCCTTCCTGTACATATACACTAAGATAGATTCACTACAATTAGCTGGGATGGTCCCTTCCTTCCAAACCTTTTCGAACAAGTGAGTCAGTACTTTGCAGAGGACCTCACCACCATGTTCAAATAGCGCGGGTGCGAGAGAACAGGGTCCAGCAGCGCGAAAACGGCTGAAGGCTGAGATCGAATTTCAAGCCTCAGTCCTCAATGCAGCTTTTGGGTTAACAGGCCGTTGTCTGGCCTTCACAATTAAGCAGAATGAGGTTCAGGAGCTGAGGACCAATTAAAATGCTTTCGTAGGTGTTCCACTCAACCCAGCTATATGGTGTTCTTTGTTGTGGATCAAGGCACTCGTGTTGTCTCTGATTGTCTTACTGACGCCTGGTTCCCTGGGACCGGTGGTACGAATCAGTTGGAAAAGCTCGCGTTAATCGACTATTGCTCCTGTTTTCTTCATTTATTGAACCCTATTGGTCGGCCAGGTTTTCATCTCAGCACGCAGAGTAAACGTCAGTTCGTGTCTAATAGTCCGTTTGATTACATGATGCTCAGATCCATCAGGAGAGTTGCTTCTGAATTCCAACAGGTCCATAGACCTCTCGGACAACCAGTGATTGATGTGATGATCACTGATAGTGCCGCAAGAAGATGCTGCAGCGTCGTGTATGGTGTACGAGATTCTATGCCACTGAAGCTCAGTGTCCTTAGGATGAGAGTTTGGTACGCAAGGCATCCCGGTACACGTACCTGATGGACGACTGGGATAACTCATTCATCAATAGAAAAAGGCGATTGGCAGGCCCACCGGTAAACGTAATGAAAAAATCGGCAGCGGACCAAAGTATGAGCAGAGTTGGCGTAGGTACTCTAAAACCAGTGACAGTGCAGGATAGAACTACGCCACCTGAAACTTATGGCAATCGGTAATATTTGGGGCAATCGGCGGCCAGCTATCGGAGGACGCCAAGCGGCACTTCGGCGCCCACTGTGTCTAAAAGCAGTGTTAGTAAAAAACAGCCGGTGCTCCGCACACAGTCGTGCGTACGATTGGAGTTAAATCTATACTTACCACCCAGCTGAACTTCTGAAGAGTCCAGGCGAACGAAGTGTGCATTGATATCCTTGCAACAACAACAACAACAACAACAACAACAACAACAACAACAACGATATTTGAACTGTTAAAGGTGCGAATCCCCGTGTTTCGTTCGTGATAAAACGCGTCCTTGGAAGCATCAGGACTGTATTCGGCTGGGGCACAAGCGGCGAAAATAAACAGCGGTTAGTGATGTTTCGTGAATTAACCTTGTTTGATATCGTCAAACGGGTGCATACAAACGGTTACTCAAGGAAATCTAATCAACTAGCAATGATTTAGCCTTGAAGTTGATGGTGCGCAATCCAGACTGACTTGTCGGTACCGCATCAGTGTCTGCGGATGGAAGCAAATAGCAGCGAGACGACAAGTCGGGCGCGTTTAGTTTAACCACCACGTGGGTTACTGAGACCAGTTTCGGACACACAATAGACGTGGATACTCAGTGTATTCAATGTGTGTATAAATGCGGCGCGCTGACTAATCTGTTTTAAAGTGTGAGCTTTGAATGCAATGGAAACGGGACAGGGTGACCGTATAAGGAACTGTTGCCGATACAAGTCCAGTGAGTGATGCGGGAAGATAGTTGCAGGTGGTTGAACTCTAGTGGTATTGTAGCTGGTGTCAATTAAGCTGGGAATTATAGTAGGAACACTGGAAATAAGTGTATGGATGGGATTAATGGAAGCAGGTAAAAAAAGGAAGACATCAGCAGATGCATGATTTCACCTATCTGTCCTGCTGTAGGTAGCAAATAAGGCAACCATTTTGAATCAGAGCGACGGCCGATGTAGAATGTAGTCTAAAGTTTGGTCAAATAGTCATGGTTGTACGTGAGCTGGTATACTACCAGGGTGTCCAATTCTAGGCAAAACGATAAGGGTTTTCAACCAAAAAACCCATTCGCAAAGTAGCTGGTAAGTGGCAACAAACCAGTTTCATATAAATGAAAAAACCATCCCATTTCCACCCCCTACCTGGAGGACCAGGAGATTGAATTCGTTTGACCTCTAACCACCATTGACAAATATGGTAGGAGTAGCTCACAAGAAGCTCAAGGCATCACTAAGTATAGCTCAATGGGTCGAGGAGGTACAGAAACTGTCGTATCACGTTAGGACCCAATCTCATCGCAATGGGGTGCTTGGTTCATGGAATCTATGTAATACACACAAAACATAATTGACGAAGTGAATTCAAGTTAAATGGGCTTACCCTTGTAGGGCGTTGAAGACCTCGAGCCCCGTTGGAAAGAGTCCTGGGAACTGTGGGAACTAGCGAAGGAGACGTTCGATCGCCCCGAATTAAATCCCGAGATTTCGCGTTTGTTGCTGCATTCGCGACAAGCATAGCCTTTCCCGTCGATTGGTGTGGGACTGACGAACTGATGCAATAGATCCATTAAATTGCATTCCATAGCATTACCGTTGTAGCAGTCGGGTGGGAGAGCCAAACTGAGCTCAGTAAAGGGCTCTTCAGTGCACGCAACCAGATTGCAGTTGGAGCATCGTATGTGACTCACACAATGACCTTGGAAGGTGCGACTCACAAAATCGCGCGCATTTGTAGGGACAACCGCAGAGTCACCATGTATCTCCAATTGTAGGCGCTCCAGGAAAATACTGAGGAATTCTTGCGCGTCCTGTTGTCGGTAGCCTTTGAACGATGGCAGCGCAGTCCAAACGGTGTAGAGAAAATTGCTAGGACTGACAACCGCGCGTTGACTGGACCATAATGTGCGCAGTATATTATAAAGTGCTTCATAGACGGAGCTATGCTCTGGATTAGTAAGCTCAAGCGAAACTGGAGGCGCAGAAATTGCCTTCTGACATTTTTCGATGCCACTATGCCCACAACGTCCTCCATTCAACCCTCCAACAGTATCAGAGGGAGTGGTGGGATCAGCAGTTTTGAGATCCGGGTTTCCCGGTAGATGCGGCAAAGTAGACAGAGAATTATGAAGTTGCGGGGGTGCAAGATCGGCAGTAGGGCAAACAGGAGAGTTATTTACAGACGGGACTTGCTGCAGGATAGGAATGCGGGAAGGAGACAACAGGGTGGTGGAAGTGAAACACGGGGCTGGGGTACCCGAAGTTTCGAGGTGAGGTAAGTTCCCGGATCGACGCTTTTTAGACGCTAGTAAGACCTCGGATGGTGGGTGGCTCATAACGAAATTGGCGAAAGGCGCCGTGTGGCTATAAACCAAACAAAACAGGAACATCATTCTAGAGGAAAACGCGTTACCGTAGCACTTGTAGTACAGAGTTCATGTAACACGTATTGCCTAGATTCCTTAGGCCAGTGAAAGCGGGGGAAAAGGTTAGAGGAGAGCGTGGTTTGTTAGCCGTGGCTCGCATTCTAGCAGAGGCACCGAGCGCCCGCTAAAAAGTTGTATGAGAAGGTGGAAAAATAGTAAACCGCCTACCTTCCTATCCAAATAATGGGACCACCAATGATGAAGGGCCCAAGAAAGGCGGGAAACTCTGCAAATACGTGAGGTATCAAGGGAGTTGCAAACGATAAACCAACCGATGCCGCATTACGGCTGTTTGAACATCATCCGCCTTTAACAATCGCTTGGTGATTCTGGAGGAAAGAGTGAGGAGGACCCAAACCCAGTTACCTCTTCACATCACGTATGTGAAACCTTAAGATGCGGCGACCGCGTTTTTGCTTGGACAGCTCTCTGAAATTCTGAGCAGTCACTGCGTCCAAAGCCATGCGCAGCAACTTGATATCGCCCGGCGCATTGTCGTTTAGAACAAAGTCATCACAGATATAACTGAAAAAGTATCGATAATAATCACGACAAATCACTCACCAAAACACGAATTTTTCGTTTACTTCAATGCATAAAGGATGCTAAAATGAATAACTGAAGAGCAAACAATCTCACCCCTGTGGTTCGAAAATGTTGAAGTGCGTGTTCAGCAATGTAACGACCGCAAGCAAAGTTGGGACAAGAAAGACAGGCCCAAACACTCTCGGTTGTGTTGCACACATGACAGTGCCATTTATCAGGACTCAGAATTCCGAGTTGGATGCTTGTTTTAATTTTCAATACGTGCTTACAGCTATCCGTCATGAAAACAAATCTGAAAACAAAAAGAAGTTGTTAAGGTAACTACAGTCGAATGAGTCAAAATGGCTGATTCAGAACAAGACGTATAGAACCGGACAACAACTGATCGATTAGGTTAGAGCGATGGAGTCAAGTTGGATCAAGTACACAGGGCAACAAAATGTTGTGAACTTTCTGGTGCCAGAGATCGTTAAAGTGATCCTACATGAACTTTTGATTCGGATTTCAAAGCCGAAACCCATTTTTTCTACATGCTCTGGTTTTCAGGAAATTCGATATTTTACATACATAAATAGAAAATTATTTACCAACCCATTGTCGTTTCACATATGCCCATGGATCATTCAGGTCGACATAAATGTGCAAATGAACCTGATGCATTTTGCCACATATGCGGATATTATACAGTCGTTCGTCGAAGGAGAAATGTCATTGTTTTTGAAATGTATCTATAAAGCATAGTTTGAAATACCCCTTGGGGAACAAGACGAAAAATGGGCACCTCACATTGTGTGCAATTTTGTGAGGAAATGCTTCGTGGCTGGACAAAAGGGCAACGCAAAAGCTTGCAATGTGGAGTTCCCATGGTTTGACAAGAACCTGCCAACCACATAACAAACCGCTGTTTGCATGGTTAATACGAAATGCATTGGAAAGAAAAATCGACATAAGATCTCTTATCCCAAGATTTTCTCTGCAACTCGACCCATTCCACACTCTGACGAGCTTCCGGTTCCAAAATTTGGAGATTCTGCTTCAGCAGATGTGAAAGTCAGTTGGCGTGAAGATGGAGCCCTGCTGTAACTTAAAAAGATTTTGTAATGTTGTCGGTCAGATTTGAATTCAGCACGCTCAAATTACACGAGAAGCACTGTCCGTTCCCATTCAACAAAAAGGTTGCCCTTTGTTATCGACGATTACTACAGGACCGAAGCGATAGCACAGTTTAACATAGTAAAACGTAGATGAACGATGGTCGGTTCCGATGTAATGGACTCAAAGACTGGCGAATTATGTAGTCACGGGAAAAGGTCCAGTTAGTTCGCTGGCGACAAATCAGAGGTTGCAACTAACCATTGTGATGAACCCCACACGAACACCGACTAAACGGTGACACCAGCAAGGGCCAGGTCGCGGAGCAAGTTTTTCAAGATACAACCATCGGAAATCGCACAGATGCTTGAGCTTAGTGGGGCCAAATAACCAAGACAAATCTGGGTTGATCATATCCGTCCAAGTACGGTAAGTAAGAATCAAGTCCCTCTAATCCTTCGACAGTGCATTGAGCACAAACACAAAGTAAGCAGACATTAGGGATACGTCTGTCCCCGTAGACCCTGCAATAACCTAGTACCCACTCATATCACCCTCTCCAAGTCCATTTTGTATCAGATAAGACATAATGAACAAGCCCCGATACAGTATTCCATGTGGGGTCGCACGAATGCCGAAAACAACTTTACAAACATATGGACCGTTAGAACTCCGAAGAAACGGCGGATAAACCACATCACACGAAACACCCTACAAGCAGCCCTCTTCCAAATCTCGCCGGATTAAAGAGCTGATGAGTGGACGACACCTAAATCAACCTGCTGAGTGACAACAGGAATTTCCCCACCGCGGACAACAAATCGCTTGGGAGGTGTTGTAGCTCCTATTCGGAGAACAGAAAACTTGGCCCAATTTATCGACATCACCCATAAGGCAGGCAATTTCCAGAACCTATTAAAGGCACTCTGAATTGCCACAGAACACTCAAGGATATTCAGAACACTCCAGAGCTTAAGGTCGTCAGCAAACATTAGAGACGACAGTCCTAACTACCTGGAAAGTCATTTACATATATGGCGAACAACAATGGTTTCCAAACCGAACCCTGTGGAACGCCATTAAGGACAGCTTGTCTAAACGGAAGGCTACGCCCTATGCGTACACATTGTTCCCTCCCCTCCAGAAAAGCAGACACACACTTAAGGGCGCGACCAAATCTAGCAACTTATTCACGATGGTCGTTGCCGTCCCCCGTAGCTCAGTGGTCTCAACTACGGACTGGCAACAGTCGAGTTGCGGGTTGGAGTCCTACCAGGGTCCGATGGAATGCGCACTGCTGACAATTCCCAAAAGGACGAAACGCGCGTACAGTGCTCTCCCGGGCGTGTGATGGCTGTCTGAGTGAGTCTAGATGTGACGAATTCCTACCTTTACCATTTTTTTCTTGAAACCTCATACTCCGTTTTTCAGTCTACTAGTCCAAAATGTCCTCTGACTAAGTTCCTTTTGCTTCCGAAAACCTTGTACTTCATTCAATCCAGTACGATCTACAGCTCAGTGTGCCTCAGCTACCTCAAAACACACAGTTCTCAGATACAACGACGATGAAACAAACATTACCCACCACTTTCCTTCCAAGTTAACAATGTCTTTCAAATCTGTCGTCATTAACATTCGTTCCCTTTTACCAAATTAGATCTACTTTCAACACTTATGTTTATGAGATCCCCGATATGGCTTTTAGCACTGAAACTTGGTGCACGTCAGAAATTAGTGATTCACAACTTAACATCTTACGCTATAAGCTTTTCCGCAAGGATTGCTCACACAAACGTGGTGGTGGCTGTGTCATGTATCTTTGAAATAACCTGACTGCAATTCCCACAGATCAACCTGTGTTCAATGGCTTAGAAGATACACTATGGCTAGTGATCCCATCTATTGACCTTCTAGTGGGTTGTATCTATCGGCCGCCCCGAACTACTCAATCTGCAACCCACAAGCTAATCGATATGATCAATGTTGCTTCCAGCACGACATACAAATCCAAAATTATGGGTGGAGATTTCAACCTACCACATGTTAACTGGATGCTGCCTACACTCAGAAACACTGCGGAGATTGAGGAAATCATCCCATGTATTCACCTCAATGGCTGGACCCAGCATGTTAGAGAGTCAACTAGAAGTGCCACAACCATAGACCTTGTATGCACGCTGGGAACTGCTTACGCTTATACATTCATTGATAATCCACTATCTGGCTGTGATCACAACACCGTGCTCTGTGATATGACTATAGATTCAACTAAACGACCAAGTAAAATGCTAAAACCCATTCGTAACCTTCATCATGTGGACTGGAACTCATTTAACGAACTTATCAGTACCATGAATTGGAAAACGTCATTCCTAACCCACAACCCTACTGTGGTTACAAATGAGTTTATGAACAATATTGCCCTTGTTGTGGATCTACTGACACCTACTGTATGGAGAAATACCCATGAACATAGTGGTGAACTCAAGCTTCTGTCCAAAGCCAAGCTAAAGAAACTCAAATCGCTACATCGCAGGAACAACAGCTTCGCAACATTGCTACAAATACACGAGAATTTACTATATTTACAATGTCTAACCCAAACGGTCAAAATCAAAGAAGAAAGCCGAGTACTCAGGAATCCTTAGAAAGTACGTATATTGATGCAACTACTCAAAAGAAGGAACCCTAAACCACTTCAGGAAATTGAAACGTTGGCTCTAGACGATGGTTCAATAGCGCGCGACATCTCCTGTATATGCGAGGCTATGAACTTTAGTTTTGCCTCCTGTTTTGTCCCCAAAATTCAGCCACTTCATCCTCCACTTCCAAAATGAACGACCGAACTATACTGCAATATCCCTGTGACGTTAAGAGAGGTGCAAAGTACCATTGCAGCCGTAAAACCATCAACTCGTCCAGGTCCAGATAAGATCTCCCCAACTGTTATAAAACTCGGAAGAAAAAACCTCGCTCTATTGTTATTAAACATCTTCACACTTTCACTTACCGCCGGCTGCTTTCCAACTTAATGGAAGCAATCCATTATAATGCCTAAGCACAAGGGTGGCCCGAGAAATCAAGTGTCAAGCTATCGCCCTATAAATCAGACCTCTGCTGCTTTCAAAGCTCTAGAGCGAATAGTCAAGAAGAACATTGTTCAATATCTTACAAGACTGGATCTGATCAACGCCTCACAGCATGGCTTTCTCGCAAAACGCTCCTGCGTTACATGCCAGCTACAATTTCTCGATCACGTCACGACTATGGTTGACAGAATAATGGCAATTATTATAATTCTATTGGGCATGCAAAAGGCGTTAGAACGCGTGCCGCACAAGCCACTGCCGTCTGCTCTAGAGTCATATGGAATTGGAAATCCTCTGCTTAACTGGTTTGACTCATACCTAAACGGTCGAACTCAGGTAGTTAAAATCAGTCAGCAACATTCTACACCGAAACCAATAACCAACGGTGTCTTCCAGGGAAGTTTGCTCGGACCACTACTTTTCTTAATCTATGTAAACAATATGTGACCTGATCAAACAAGGACACCCATTTCTCTTTGCAGATGATGTCTAACTGGTTTGCTCATTTCATCCAGACCAACTACATAAATGTTTGGGGAACATCTGTGAAGAACTATCCGCACTAAATATAGCTAGTGAGCGTTTATTAATGAAGTTCTCCGCAGTGAAATCCCAAGTAGTTTGGTATAGATGCCGCATCCCAGAAGGCTCCATCATACTTGCCGGAAACGTGGTCCCAACATCTGATTCAGTTCGGGACTTAGGAATTAGATACTCTAACTCTTTTAATTTCTCCGAACATGTTCTTTATCAGGTTGCGAAAGCAAGGCAGTTATGCGGATATATCACCAGAAGTTTTTCCCTACCTGAAGCACGACTTGAGTCATTCAAGAAAATAGTACGACCGACTCTGGAATACTGTACTATCGTTCACAGCCAATTGAGAAAGAAAGACAGAACGGCTCTGGAGAATGTCCACCGATCATTTACCAAGCTGGTCATTGGGCGCTGCCCAAACCTGACTTATTATTATCGCTGTCGAAAACTTCAACTGGATCCACTTTGGCTGAGACGCTCAAAGAACAACCTCGTTCTCTTCTACAATATTATAAACCAACGAATTTACGCAGACAGCACCGCACTTGAACTACTACTTGATACGTACAAACCTT